AGGCTGGGGGGCCCTGAAGGACCCCCCACTCCCCACCTCCAAACTGAGGTCGCTTTGAAATGGAAACGAGAGCGGGTGAATTTTGCTGTGAGAAACTTCCGCGACGTGGGGCGGTTTCCCAAGGAAAGGGAGAAAGGTGTGCGGGGGGCAGGGGGGTGGGGGGAGCGAGGGGCTGCCTTGAATTTGGGATCAGAGGAGGAGAGGGGGAGATTTCTTGGAGGTGTGGTGGGGGGAAGGTTTCTGGTAACGCTAGGGGTGCTGGTTTGCTGGCACCAAACCCCCTGTGTCACTGGGAAGGAAAATTAAAACCGATTTATTTTTTTTTGTTAAAGGATGTGGGAGGGGGTTAAAACCAGGGAATGGGCCTAGTTATTTCTATCCAGGCTCCGGTGTGGTGGGGGGAAGGTTTCTGGTAACGCTAGGGGTGCTGGTTTGCTGGCACCAAACCCCCTGTGTCACTGGGAAGGAAAATTAAAACCGATTTATTTTTTTTTGTTAAAGGATGTGGGAGGGGGTTAAAACCAGGGAATGGGCCTAGTTATTTCTATCCAGGCTCCTCTGCTGGGTTAGGAGATCACTAGGGTACCGGCTGAGAGGAAACACAACCAAAAGAAACCAGGAAAGGGTTTGGAAAAGGAGGAATAAAAATGTAAAAGATAAAAAGCAAAAGGATCCTAAGGGGATTCGTTCTGTAGTATGATTTTTAAGGCATCCCTCTACCCCCTGCACCAGTAGATTTGATTTGGCTTCTTATTTTGATGGCTGATTTTAGAGGGGAAGGTGAATTTTAGAGCCGTCCCCTGCAAGGTGGAGGTGCTGGTTGGTGGAGGTGGGAAAAGCTTTGCTCGCTGCCAAAAAAATAATTAAAAAGGCACTTTCATTTTGCTCCGCTTCTGCTGCTGGAACCCGGGGTGTTATTTAGGAGTTTAAAATGGTTTGGGGGTTGTTCTAAGTGCATTTGGGTTTATTTCTTTAAGTACTTCTTAGGGTTTTTGGGTTTGCCTGGTTATTCTAGGTTTTATCAGGAAAACCGACCGTTCACCTTAATGCATCTCAAAAATCTCGGGCGTTGTGTGTCCGGGAAGCTCCGGGATTGTCATTCTGGGCCGTTACTGTTTGTGGTAGGGAAACAAATAATATGCAGGAGTTTTCAAAATCTATGCAAGATATTTCCCAGGAATGTTAATGAAAGGGAAAGGCAGCTTTTATCCGACAGTATCTCCGCTCTGGCATTTAAATGCAATTAATTCGGGAGACGCTTGGCCAAAAAATGTTCTGCCTTTTGAAATACAAAAATAAAAGAAAAAGGAGGGGGGGAGGACGCTATACTTTTAATCTCTTGGGCAACTGTAATTTTAAACGAAATCTCAACATGATGCTACCCTCATTAGTTCCGAATGAAGGTTCATTACCTAGACAGTATGAATATTTTATTGCTTTATATCCCTTTTTCGGAAATGAAACGCCTTTGATCTTTTTCTCGGGTTGTAAAAAGAATTGCCTGTCATTAAAAAAAAAAAACCTGTCGTCCCATCTGCCTTTACATTCTGTATTCCTTTTCAGCTGGTTCTTTCTCTTTTTTTTTTTTCCCTCTCTCTTTTTTTCCCTCTCTCTCTCTCTTTTTTTTCCCTTCTTTTATTTTTTTTTTAAATAATTTCTCCACACACTCACGTATCAGCCCAAACCTGGGTTGACCTCCAAGAACGAAAACTGGATGAAATCTTGGCGCTGCGTATCAGGAAATAATGAGGAGGGGTTGAGGCTGGAGGAGGACGGAGCTGTGACATTTTGCTTTTTAAACGACGATTATTTGGATTCGAGTCTCGTTGTGCGTCTGTGCTTATAGATCAGCCCAGGAACTGATTTTTTCTTTTTTAGTATATATATATTTATTTATTGTTAGAACTAATGCATAAAGTCTGGAGAAGGAGGTAGAAAAGTTCTGAGTTTTCTAATCTGGTCTCAGCTATCCGGATCCTGAGCTGGTGCTTTAATTCATAGCGAGTCTTTCAGCCGTCTTTACCTATAGATTAATTCTTACTCTCTCGCGTCACAAAAGTTTAAACACACACACACACCCCCCACCCCGTTCTCCCCCCTTCCCCAGAAGATAATTATGGCGGTAGGCGAAGATCTCTGACCAAGGAGGACGCATCTGTCTTCTATATGTACCCTGTAGATCCGAATTTGTGTAAAGGAAGTTGGGTCACAAATTCGTATCTAGGGGAATATGTAGTTGACACAAACACTACAGGTCACAATCCCAGAAGGCATTAAAAAAAAAATCCAAAACAACCAAACAACAACAACAACAAAAACAACAACACCCAAAACCCATTCCCCACAAAGCACCCACAGCCCCAGAGCCCCCAGTAAAAGGGTGAAAACAAGGTGTTCACCAGAAACCCGCCTCATAGCCGAAAAGAAATACTTTGGATTTGACCTCAGCTCAACTCCAGCACTTCTGCGATAAACTTTATCATCACTTGGAGATAAAATCTGAGCTGCAAAGGCGGGAGGAGGAGGGGGTCAGGGGCGTTCTTAGCGCCCTTTGAGAGCTGGGATCCCACTAGTGCTCTAGTTTGTGTAATCTCAGCGCTGCTACCCACACAAAAAAATATTCTGCCTTTCTCTCCTGCCGCTTGCGAGGAGCTTATTGCGCGTTCCAGGCTGGAATGTTGAGGACCTGGGGGTGGCTTGGGAGGGCTGCTGGTTCCCTTCTGCTTTTTACAGCATCTTGATTACAAGAAGGGCGAGGCGAAGATGCTTTAGGACTTGGACTAATTCGCTTTTGTAATTGTTCATCAAGTCCTTGATTCCTTGCTTTCCCCCCCCC